TCCTCTGTGGAATGTTAAGGGTGTAACTTCTTCTTATTTCATCCCCATCTCTTTACTTCTCACAGAGTGCCTTCAACATTCTGACCAGACTTCAGTTCTCTCCCCCATTTTCTGTCCACACTGCTTGGGACATTCTGCTTCTTGATTGCTTTCTTTCTCTGATGTGTCTTACTAGTTCTTCTCATTCTTCAGGCCTAGTAGTTAAGTCACTTCCTCCAGAAAACCTTCCCTGAGCTTCCATACCTTGGTTACGAGTTCCTCCTCTGGGATCTCACAGAGCCGTGTGTTTTCTCTGCCATAGTACTTACCATCTTATACTGCAGTTCTGTTTTCAGTCTTTAGGAGGGAAAGGAAACAACCTGCAATAACAACAAAGTCCAAAACTTCATTTTTTTCATTTATACTTGATAAAAATTTATTTATCCTAACAGAGTCAATATAAGGCCAAGCTAGTAGCTGACTGCTCTGCTCCATAGTTATTTGACAACCCAGGCTTCCAGCTCTTTCACATATAATGCTGACTTCCAAATCACTCTGCATCATATCTGGATAGTACATGAGGAAAGATCATGGAGGATCATGTGTGGGGTGTTTTTATACGACGGCCCTTGAAGCAGCGGCCATCACTCCTACTCACAGTCCACTGCCTGGGCCTTGGCGTGTGGCCCCCACCCCTAACTGCACAGGACGCTGGGAAGTGCAGTTTCTCTGTGCCAGAAAGAAGGGGACTGGGTTTGGTGATCACCAGTAATCTGCCACAATGACCTTTATTCTCACTAAATTATATACTCCATAAGGGCAGGGGCAAAAATTCTCCTTTTATGCACTTTATCCTCAACGCTAATACACAGTGGGAGCTCGCTAAGCATTTGTCGAATAAATGAAATTGTGTGTGTCCTGTCTTTAAAAGACTTTTTCTGCCCATCCTGATGCTGGATGAACATTTTTTTCCTCAAAGAGCATCATCTGAAGCAGCGTCTAACATGTCTGCCTGATTCATGGACCTGGGGCATAGTATGTCTTTGGTGTTCTGGCAGGCTGCATGGAAAACTGATGCTTGTTGATCATCTCTTATGTGACCTGCTACTGGTGCTAATGGTAAAGAAGTCACCTGCCAACGTGGGAGACATAGGAGACACGGGTTCAATCCCCGGGTTGGGAAGATCCCCTGGAGAAGGGCATGGCAACCCGCTCCAGTGTTCTTGCTTGGAGAATCCCATAGAAGGCGGAGCCTGGAGGGCTGCAGTCCATAGGTTGCGTAGAGTCAGACACGAGTGGAGTGACTTCACACACACACACACATGAGCCATGATGCCAATTTATTTATCTATCTTATATATACTTCTTTCAGAGATTCAATTACCCTTGTTTTCTATTTAAGGCATGCCCTTTCCAGCAACTGAAATACCTGGGAAGTTGCCAGGCTATTCACTACTCATTAAAGCTTAAGGATGAAGGAATATATTGGCTGCCATGCTGTAAAGATATTGTTGAGAATATTGTGCACATTTTACCGTACACTTTTTATAGAACCTGGGGATAAAATCCTTTCTAATCACAATAAAATGAATAGCGGTATTTTTCTTAAAAATTGACTGTTTTTATCTTATAATGTTCATCAGTGGTGTAACAAATGCTCTTTATTTCTTAACATTGTTACTAGAACATTCTGACCAAATGTGCAGTCCATATCTACTAAGAGAATATTACATCGAGAAATACATTATGTAATATCCCCAGCTAGGTTTTAACAACATTCAACATTCTTTATCTAACTCCATTTTTTCCTACCCTTATTTTCCCTTTCTATCCACTTCTTTTATCTTCTTGTATTTGCCTATTTATGTAAACCACCATGAACATGTTTTGGAGCAAAGGAGAAATACATAGAAATAAAATCTATTAAACATTTGTCTTCCCAAGAGACATAACGTGTCTCAGTGGCTATAGTTGAGTATTTTTGTATTTCAATCTACCTTGCTTTATCTCTAGAGGTATTTTCAAATGAATATGAATTAGTCTTTCATTTTGGGGGGAAGGGAGGAAGGAGGAGAATGCAAAATTATGGCTTATGAAGATAAAGATGATTTAGAAAGCTAAGAATTGAAGTAAATTTGAAACTATATTTCATATGTGAAAATATTATATATAATTGTGAAAATTCACTACAAGGTAAGTTCCATGAGGGTGAAGATCTTGTCTTCATTGTTCAAAATGCATGTTGACTCGTCTTGTACGTAGGAGACACTAAGCTGATATACTTTGAAAGTGTGAGTGTACTACACTAGCACTTAGGAGAACACATGATTAATATGAAACAAATAGTATTGAGCATTGGGTGTGCAACCACAAGCATAGAACCTTTGGACTCTGTTTTATAACTTATAAACTGAAGCCATCAGACTATGTATGCACTAAGATTCTTTCCAAATCCAATACTCCATGTTCTACATGCCACCTTTGTTAGTATAGTGGCACTTTTAAACGTATGAAGGTAAATTCCTATGACAGTTTGGAAATTTTGTTTTCAAAATAGGTTATTGAACCCCATCATCAACAGCCCTTGTAGATGTGAGCACATCAAATTCAAACATCACCCCTCCAAGTGCTCAAAGTGAGTAGCAAGGCTCCTCATGTGACTCCAAAGAGACAATACAACCACAAGTTTTATTGCAACTATAACAATATTGGGTTTGGGGAAAAGCTATATTTTTCATTTGATGTTGATATTTTGGTTTTGAGTTACTCTGTGGCAAATTGTAATCCAGTGACTATATATTGATATGACAACTACTATAATCTTAAAAATATGGATTCAGTTCAGTTCAATTCAGTCGCTCAGTCATGTCCGACTCTTTGTGACCCCATGAATCGCAGCACACCAGGCCTCCCTGTCCATCACCAACTCCTGGAGTTTACTCGAACTCATGTCCATCGAGTCGGTGATGCCATCCAGCCATCTCATCCTCTGTTGTCCCCTTCTCCTCCTGCCCCCAGTCCCTCCCAGCATCAGGGTCTTTTCCAATGAGTCAGCTCTTCGCATGAGATGGTCAAAGTATTGGAGTTTCAGCTTCAGCATCAGTCCTTCCAATGAACACTCAGGACTGATCTTCTTTAGGATGGACTGGTTGGATCTCCCTGCAGTCCAAGGGACTCTCAAGAGTCTACTCCAACACCACAGTTCAAAAGCATCAATTTTTTGGCACTCAGCTTTCTTCACAGTCCAATTCTCACATCCATACATGACCACTGGAAAAACCATAGCCTTGACCAGGCAGACCTTTGTTGGCAAAGTAATGTCTCTGCTTTTTAATATGCTGTCTAGGCCCTTAAACTGGGAGAAAATAATAGCAAACGAAGCAACAGACAAAGGATTAATCTCAAAAATATACAAGCAACTCCTCCAGCTCAACTCCAGAAAAATAAATGACCCAATCAAAAAATGGGCCAAAGAACTAAACAGACATTTCTCCAAGGAAGACATACAGATGGCAAAAAAAACACATGAAAAGATGCTCAACATCACTCATTATCAGAGAAATGCAAATCAAAACCACAATGAGGTACCATTACACACCAGTCAGAATGGCTGCTATCCAAAAGTCTACAAGCAATAAATGCTGGAGAGGGTGTGGAGAAAAGGGAACCCTCTTACACTGTTGGTGGGAATGCAAATTAGTACAGCCGCTATGGAAAACAGTGTGGAGATTTCTTAAAAAGCTGGAAATAGAACTGCCATATGACCCAGCAATCCCACTTCTGGGCATACACACTGAGGAAACCAGATCTGAAAGAGACACGTGCACCCCAATGTTCATCGCAGCACTGTTTATAATAGCCAGGACATGGAAGCAACCTAGATGCCCATCAGCAGACGAATGGATGAGGAAGCTGTGGTACATATACACCATGGAATATTACTCAGCCATTAAAAAGAATTCATTTGAATCAGTTCTAATGAGATGGATGAAACTGGAGCCCATTATACAGAGCAAAGTAAGCCAGAAAGATAAAGACCATTACAGTATACTAACACATATATATGGAATTTAGAAAGATGGTAACGATAACCCTATATGCAAAACAGAAAAAGAGACTCAGATATATAGAACAGACTTGTGGACTCTGTGGGAGAAGGCAAGGGTGGGATGTTTCAAGAGAACAGCATCGAAACATGTATATTATCTAGGGTGAAACAGATCACCAGCCCAGGTTGGATGCATGAGACAAGTGCTCGGGCCTGGTGCACTGGGAAGACCCAGAGGGATCGGGTGGGGAGGGAGGTGGGAGGGGGGACCGGGATGGGGAATACATGTAAATCCATGGCTAATTCATTTCAATGTATGACAAAACCCACTGCAATGATGTAAAGTAATTAGCCTCCAACTAATAAAAATAAATGGGGGAAAAAAAAAATATGCTGTCTAGGTTGGTCATTACTTTCCTTCCAAGGAGTAAGCGTCTTTTAATTTCATGGCTGCAATCACCATCTGCAATGATTTTGGAGCCCAGAAAAATAAAGTCTGACACTGTTTCCACTGTCTCCCCATCTATTTCCCATGAAGTGATGGGACCAGATGCCATGATCTTAGTTTTCTGAATGTTAAACTTTAAACCAACTTTTTCACTCTCCTCTTTCACTTTCAATATGTGGTTTGAAAATATGGCCACTCAAAAATATGGATTGGTGATTTGTTATTCTATTGTACCTGTCATGTATCATGGGATTTTTAAAGTAATACTAAAGTAATCTTGAGAGTACTCCCAGTGCTCTGAGTTGGTGACAAGAAGAGAAAAAAAGGAAAATCATGACGAGTTGGCTGTAAACATAAACCACAGACTTTAGCTTAACTCGAGCCAGCCAGTGTTCTCTGTGTCGGGAAGCATATTTTCAATTTCAGATTTCCCCAAAGTCATACAGACTAAAAATTCAGCACACCAAAGTAAAATTAAATTACAACTCTATCAGAAAATAGAATTCTGAAATTTTTGTCTTTCAGCCAGTAATTCCAATGTGCCTACCCGAGGCTTCAACTACTCCTGGACCTCCAGTGGGAAAGACGCCAAACTCTGTAAGTGAAATAAGAGTCGCCTGGAGTCCGCCGGGCCTCACTCATTTATCCAACACATATACTGAACAACTACTGTGAGCTTTGTTTATGATTGTATTAACAAATATTGACAAGGCGTCAACCATGTTTATAGCATTGTTGTGGCTGCTGGGGATGCCTGTAAACAAAACAGGTCTAAGTCCTGTAGTCTGGTGGATGAGAGACAGACAAATAATGATAAGTGACATGGAGAACGCAAGGCAGAGGGGGGAGACGGTGAGAAACAGGACTGAGGGGCAGTGCCCTTCTAAAGAGGGTGGTCTTGGAAGGCCTTCCTGAGGAACGTGACACCTGAGTAAAGTGGAGGTGAAGCAGACCTGGGGGGCAGGGAGCCAGCTAGAATGTGCACATCACTGAAAAAGGGAAAAAAGAAGCTGAAGTGAGGCACGGAAATGGTTTGTTACCTGCCGTGCGACCACGTAGCCACAGGGTCTGCTGACGCCGCTCTAGCAGTTATCGACAGGGTCTAAGAAGGAAATACACTGCCTGTTAGTGGTCAAGACAAAGATGTGTGGTCTTCAGTGGCAAAGGATGTGGCTGAAGCAAAGAGAAGTGAAGGCCCTGGGCACCATGGGTTCAGGACTCTGAATTGAACTCCTGGGCCCTTTGCCACGGAGTAAATGTGCATGGGCCTTTTAAAAAGCATTTAAATTGTCCACTGAAAACCTCTAAGCATCTTTTACACCCACTGACTCACTCATCTCACTGATGGGAGCTTGTCCTTAGGACATAAATCAAAGAGGGAAAGGAACCTGTGTAATGTTTCTCTTTGAGCATTATTTATTCAGTTTTTTTATGGAGTTCAGGCTTCCTGGGTGGCTCAGTGGTAAAGAATCTGCCTGCTGATACAGGAGATGAAAGAGACACAGGTTCAGTCCCTGTGTTGGGAAGATCCCCTGGAGCAGGAAATGGCAACCGACTCCAGTCTTCTTGCCTGGAAAATTAAATGGATGGAGGAACCTGGCAGGTCCGTGGGATCACAACGCATCGGACACAATTGAATGACTGAGCTTGAGCTCGATGGAGCTCAGGTTCACAAATTTAAGTTAACCATGATCTTTAGTTCAGGATACTTTCATCGTGAGTCTAGGCACGACCCTCTGTAATTTAATGTAATATATATCTCTCAACAAACATGTTGATAATATAACGGACACCTGTGAATGTAGCGCCCAAATACAGAAAATACAGAAATGAAGAGGAAGGGAGCGCCCACACAGGGGAGAGGAGAGAGGCCACGCAGAGACGTCACCACGCGGCGCGGCCGGTGTCTGTCACACACGGCGTCCAGAGAGCTGTGCAGACGCCCTTCAGCAAGTGGACCCAGGAGTGCTGGCTTTCTTAACAAGAAAACCGCGTTAAAATGCACCCCCACCATGTACATTACACAAAAATAAACCCCATAGAGTTCAAAACATTTATGTCCAAAAGCTGAATATTAAAACGTGTAATAAGTCAGGGTGAATTCCTTCCTGGCTTCGGGGTAGGGAAGGGCAGAGGAAAGAGGAGACATGAAAATGACTGAAAAATTAAATTAAGAAAATTCTTTTATTATGACTCCTTAAAGTTTTAAAAAAGGCAAGCTATAATCTGGGAGAAGATATTTGCCACATGTTTGAAAAAGGATCAAGAATATATAGTTGACAAAGGATCAAAACTTTAAATCGAGAATATATAAAGAATGTCTACAAACCGGTTTTTTAAAAGACAAAAAGCAGTAGGAAATGAGCAAATAGGCGCATCACAGAAGACAAGATCCAAGTAGCCAGAAAACACTTAGAGATGCTAAGCTTCTCTAACGACCAGGACATGCCAGTGAAGACTAAGGTCAGAAAGTTATTTTATACATAACAATTTGCAAAAATGAACAAGTCTGAAATTGCCGAGAGTTGTATAGGATGCAGACCAATACAATTTGTTACATGTTGCTGGTGAGAGTATTAATTGGTACCATCTCTTTCCACCACTTAGGCATTATGTTTTATAGCTAAAGAGTTTTATACCAGACAATCCAATGCTTCTGCTTCAAGTATTAGTCACTCAGTCATGTTTCAACCCCATGTACCATAGCCCACCAGGCTTCTGTGTCCATGGGATTCTCCAGGCAAGAATACTAGAGTGGGTAGCCATTCCCTTCTCCAGGGAATCTTCCTGACCTAGGGGTCGAACCCACGTCTGCTGCCCTGCAGAAAGATTCTTAACCGTCTGAGCCACAGGGAAGCCCACTTCTATATAAATACCCCCCCAAAATTAATTATTTCATGTGTCCAGGAGATTTATATACAAATACTGGGGAGGGGAACACTACTTATAACAACAACAACAAAAAAAAAACTGTAAATAATCGAAATGGTCATAGTTAGGAGTGTAGATAAATAAGTTGTAATATAATCATAAAATACTATGGAATGATGAAAAATGAGTGAATGTCAATCACATATGGCAACATGAATGAATTCTAACAGCACTATGTTAGATCAAAAAAGTAAATGCCAAGTGACAATATATGGAATGATAATTTCAAGTAAACTTTATTTTTTAAGTTTAAAGAGATTTTTTTCAATTTGTATTGAAATATAGTTGATTCACAATGTTGTGTTAGCCTCAGGCATATAGCAAAGCAATTCAGTTATACATATACATTAATATACATTCTTTTTTACATTCTCTCCCGTTATAGGTTATCACAAAACTTTGAGCATAGTTTCCTCTGCGATACAGTAGGGTCTCTGCTGACTATCTGTTTTATATATGGTAATATGTATTTTAATCCCAGACTCTTAATTTATCCCTCCCCTCTCTTCCCCTTTGGTAACCATAAATTTCTATGTCTATGAGTCTGTTTTGTAAATAAGTTCATTTGTATCCTTCTTTTAATCCCACATATAAGGAATATAATATGATGTTTGTCTTTCTCTGTCTGGCTTACTTCACTTAGTGTGATACTATTTAGGATTAAAACAAGCATTAATATAACCGAATGCTATATGGCTTAGATTTAATATTTGATAAAAATTTAAAATATGTAGACAATATTCAGACAATGTTTGCTTTTGAATGGACATACAAAGGACAGGAGAGGGAGTAAACATTTATAATGTTATTTATATAATTCCAAAATCTGTGTATGAGTTGGGGAATTATTAAGGAAAAATATGTTCAATAATAAGAGAATGTGGAATAGGATGAGATAATTTGAATATTATGAAGCCACACAAAACAATAGCCAGTATGTACTACAGTGAGAAGAAATGATCTGCTTGAACGAAGGTTTTGAACTTTCCACTTACTTGCTTTATTTAAATTATTACAGTAGCATCTGTGCCCATACTAAAATCCTTTTCATCCAGTGCATCACAACAGTGTGAAGTATAGAGACCACCCAAGGTGTTTTTGCCCCAGAAACTAGAAAAATGAAAGGGTCTTACTTGAAAGTGCTCCCTAATTTACATAGGAATATTTTTGTTCTTTTTAATAGATTTCATAATGAAATGAACTATTGTAATCCTTCACAGTTTCTGTCCTTCCCCACTTCAAAACTTCGTTTATCCTCAGACATCTCTTTATCATTCTTACCATAAAAATAGCCTTAGAAATTGTGAAATCTAGGAAGGGGCTCTAAAACCCAGCAAACAATTTTTTCCTGGCAATGAAAACCCCCTTCTTACTTATGCAAGAAGATCTTGTTAACTGGTTGCCATTTTTCATCTATAAGCTTAGAGAAAAAATTCCCTGCAGTGAGTTGCTCTATTTATAATCATTCACAAAAACACATTAAGATCCAACAAGTTCATATTGATTGCTCACTCCCAAACTGTTTTTGAAACATGTTTCTACTCGTTGGATTGGACTGTAATATGACATCCAATATTAGATGATGCATTTGGCAAGATTCGTGGCAGGCATTGGTAATGGGAATTTTTTTCTTTCAATATGTTTATTTCAATAGATTTATGAAATGTTCAGAGGCAGAAAAAGAATGATAATGGATCGATTTCTAGTGAAATAAACCCACTAGTAGTGTTTCTAGGGTCCTTGCTCTTTGTGAACACATTCTATGAGATATTTGCTTATACATACACTTTGTATAGTTCATATATATTAAATGTCACTAGAAGATTCTGAGCACATTGCATTTACACTAAACTCATACGTATATGTTTTAATATATTCTTTTGTTGTTATTTTGTTATTTATTAACTTGAAGAGGTCTAGACTGAAATTCACCAATATTAGAATCTTAATCCCAGTTCCTGCAGTCTAGAAGAGGAATGCATATTTTAGTGTAACCATCTATGAAATGGGGATACCAAAATTGACTGTCTAAATACCCAAAATGTATGACTTTAATGACGTCCTGGGACACATTTTCATCCTGACACTCAGGTGATCAGGCCATGGAACAGAAAATTGAAGCTTAATTACTTTTTTTTTCCCCCTGGGTTTTCCAGTCATCCATCTGGCCCAGTAGAGCCTGAAGCCACATTGAAATCAGTCAGTCTGTCTCAGACAAGCAGAAAAATGATATGAGTCTCCATGGGTCCCTAAACCCTCCAATTTACTCATTACCAAAATCATCAAGTTTACCTATGCCTGCACACACACACACACGCACGCACACACACAAGCCTCAGGATACCTCTTATTGATCTCACATGAGGTCTTCATTCTGTTCTTTGACCTTGCATCCCTTATTCTTCAAATTTTACATACTCTTCTTTTTTATTTTAAATTTATTTGTAAGTTGAAAGATAATTGTTTTACAGAATTGTGTTAGTTCTGCCAAGCATCAACGTGAATCAGCCATAGCTCTTCTTAACTCTTACCAGTGTACTGCTTATCCTGCCCCTGGTCCTGGCTACTTCTCCTCAGACTCCTGGTAATAATTTCATGAGAACCCCTCTACTTTTCATTGGCAGAGGGTGATGTAAAAGCTGGAACTAAGGAGCTGAGGATCAATGGAAGGGACCCAGCAATGCCAGGACCTACAACAATGGTGGGCCCTATCACAGGCTGCACCAGGATCTCTTTAGCCGCTCTGTTCCTATTGGTCAGGATGCTGATTCTTTGAGTAATAAACTCACCTTGAGTAATAAGCTCATTCTTACCCTCAAATTCTAAAATCTTACATGTCTCAGGTCACACCTCTTTCCATTTTTCTCTTCTCGAAAACACTGTTCTGCTCCCGTTCTGTCACCTAATTCTCATTAGGTCAGCCTCAAATTATAGTTTTATTCCTCTGATTTAAAATTCTCTCCTTCGTTAAAATACCAGGGGGAAAAAAAAATACCAGGGGGATTCCATGGATTTCTACACTGTTAGTACACAAGCCCCATACTTCCAAAGCTTGTGAGTATCGTCTTTGTTTTGTGGTCAGGAACAGCATAAGTGTCTCATTTATAGATTAAGTGATCATGGCAAGAGTGGACAATAAGTAGCTGGTGCCAGTTGCATCTGACGGAGGGGGTGATGCTGACCTTGAAGAAAAAGAAATGGCAGAGGACCAAGATCAATGAGGTCTCTGTGTCATAGCCTTGCATCTATGGCTATTGCTTGCCACCCTATGCTTTCGCTCTAAAGACAAAAGTAAGGACAGAACTCAGAATGTCCTAAGGAAAATTGGTTACCCAATAGAAAGTCTGTACATGTAAAAATTATGCCAGAATTTTAGAGAAGATCACGTTGCCTCAAGAACCCTAAAAGAGTAACAGAAATTATCTGTGATGCTGTGAAAAGAGGATCTGCCAAAGCAGATAATCGCAGGCTTTGATGTGACACCAAACAGATCTTCCTTCAAAGGGGGAGGCGCCCCACAGGCCATAATGTCATTGAGAGCTATAAGCTGGTTACAGATAGGTGTCAGAAAATGTTATTGCAGCGCAAGGAAAAGACAGTACTGTCAAAGCTGATCTTGTTCTTACTATAGAAGAAAAGTACCCTTTCATGGTAGAATGGTATGCTAAGTCACATAGTCTCCTTGTCAAATAATGTTTATTTTATCAAAAGCTAAATTTAAAAGAATTGTGGGAGAAACTGATGCTATGCGAAAGGAAGGATATAAAAATTTATTTGAGAAACTCTAACCACACAGTATCCCTATGTTCATATTTTTGGTTGATAATGGTGATGTACTAGAGGATGTTATCCATCAAGCTCATGTTTATCATCTAAATGTCAAATAATTTACAACATTTTAAATATTGCCATTTTTGCAAGTTGGATGTATCATGCTGATGATATTAACATCTCCTGAAATTGTATTAGGCTTGGTTCTTTGGTTTGGAGAAAATCAATATTGACCAGAAAGGATGGGCACTCTGTATTTGATGAAAAAAACTATTGTTGTCCACATGTCAAAACAAGCATTCTATATTGACTTACTGATAATAAACAAAAAATAGAAAATATTCTTTTAAATACCCATTTCTCTCAACGTGATAGAACTTGTTAAACCATTTATATCTTATCATAATTGAATTTATCACATCTTTTCTTGATAGCAGATTTTGAAGAGAAAAGAATAGAGGCATTGGGACTTCCTTGGTGGTCCAGTGGTTAAGACTTCCCACTTCCAATGCAGGGGCGTGGGTTCACTCCCTTACTGGGGAGCTAAGATCCCACATACGTATGCAGCAAAAAGTTAAATAAAGGAAGAAATAGAGGCATCAAGCCCTAAAAGTAGGAAATAAAGGAGAGACCATATTGAACAACAACAACAAAAACTCTAAGGTTATTCAGAACAAACTGCCTTCTTCATAATTTTACCTAAGCCCAGGCTTGGTTCCAGTTTCTTTTTAGTTGGTTTTTGCTCATTGTCAATAAACTCCTAGCTTAATGGCTTAAACATTAAAACTCAGTGTGAAAAAGTACCCAGTCCGTTGTCATCTATAGATCTTAGCATCTTGTCTAGAACAAAAAATCGTCAAGATCACATGCACAGGGTCACAGAACTATATTGAAGATAAGAGCATCTCCTTGACCTAAACAAACTGAAAATAGCTATATCCAAAACCAGCCATACCTTGGGGGAAATCCCAAGTGGAGTAGCTGTAACGCTGTCCTGGGAGCAGTCCCCAGAAAGCCCTGACTTCCCATTCTACTGAAAGGCCGGGTAACACGCCTTTGTCTGCACCTGCAGCTGCCATTGGCAACTAGAGAGAAATTAAAGAAGGGTCAGGCCATGGAGACTTTCAATGCTTGTTTTATTTTGTTTTGGCTTTGTCTACTTGTTTGGGTCTTGACATGTAAGAAAGCATTCAACTGGGAGAATCACATACGCCAATGTTTTAAATAAACTAGTATAATGTCTTTTTACTGATTATAACCATATACTACTGTAGCTATTTTACTTTACATTATAGGCATGTTATCAAATACAGACATGGAGAGACTGCCAAGAAGTGGAACTCTTCTGCCAAAGATGGAAAACTAAACAAAAAGAATTGATAGGTCTATTTCAGAAGCCATATGTGCTTCTGGAACTGCTACCATCCACTTAAAAGGGTAGGTTTGCCTCTGAGTGGGTCAAAAGGATTCACCCAGCAGCTAGCAAGGCCTGTAACCACAGGGGTCTGATAACTCACTGTAGACGTGGTTCAGTTTTCATACTGAAACCAGAGTGCCGTCTTACCCACAAGTACCAATTACTTTGTTCACCCTCACAAGTTCCACCAAGGTCTTCAGAGTCCTGTTGGCATCTTCTCTTGACTGAGCCCCCCATAACACACCTAGGCTTTCCTTCTCTCCCATTCTTTTAGCTTATCTGTGGGGCAGACGTGAGAACAGTCACACCACACTTTCTGTGGCTGGAGAAACTGCTCCTAGCGTTTTCCTTCCCTTTTTCCTGCTTTAACTGGCTCTAATCATAGAACTTCCCTGTGGTACAGATGAGCCTATTTGCAAGGCAGGAATAGACACACAGACATAGGGAACGGATGTGTGGACATGGGGGTGGGGGGTGGGGAGAACTGGGAGATTGAGATTAGCGAATGTTCACTGCTATGTGTAAAGCAGATAGCTAGTGGGAACCTGCCATGCCGAGCCGAGAGGTCAGCTTGGCGCTCATGGTGACCGAGATAGCTGGGATGAGGGATGGAGTGAAAGAGAGGACCGAGAGGGAGGAAATGCATGTGCACGGATCGCTGATTCACTTTGCCGTACAGCAGAAATACAATAACACAACACTGTAGAGCAACTATATTCCAATTTAAAAACAAAGAACAAAACCTTCCCTATTAGACACATCTTCAGCTCTCACTTTATTTCAGGACATTCTGAGGTGTGCTGCATAGTACTTTGATGATATTACTTGAAATGTTCATTAATATCCCTTTTTTCATAATAATTAGACCTAATTGAAGGGCAAGAGGAGACAATAAATTTTCCAATATCTTCTTCCTTTGACAGCTCCATGGATGCCCAGTGAAACAAACAGTTCACCCTCCCCAGATGCAGGTTCAACACTTCCTGGTGAGCACTCAGGAGAGACTTAGGGTCAGGGAAGGTATTGGTCTGCTTTATTTGGGAAGAGGTGGAAAAGCACTGATACAAAGCCAATCTCGGGTTTTAAAAGTGCATCTTGATGGAAATGACAGTGAAAATGAAAATGACAATGAATGAAGGCAAAATGCTTCTCAGTCACTGAAAAAAGTTAGAGACCAAGTCATAGATTTGCCTCTATTTTATTTCAAGATGCGTTTTTGGGGCCAAGTAAATCCATTAAAATGTATTTTAAGCTTTAATTTTCCATTGTAAAATGGCAATTATTTGTCGACATGGATTTGTCTACTCAAATGTTGCACAGGAATGTTTAATAACCTTATCAAACACATTAGAATGGGGAGACCTCTAATAACCTGGGACACTAGAGATAAACTTCTCTCCGTGACCCCAGCCTCAGACCCTTTCCCATAATCATTTTGTCCTGGAGATTCTTTAGCAGATATTATTTTACTGCATGTACTGTATGTTTCTCTTTTTTTCTTTAAATTCATAGGAAGCTTCACTCCTTTGGTAACTATTAGATCCTAGGATACTAATCTTGCATGAATTGGTCCTTAATAAACTCTACATAAAATATTAGTATTTTAGGAGCATTTGAGCCATTCAGATGAGTTCTTTCTAATAGCAAGTGAAGTCCAATCGTCATTTTACACCTCTTGGCCAGATGGAAATGGCCCTTAGGATTAGTTCAGATATCCCCTCTGTATCCCTAGGTGACATCTTCACCAGCACAACCAGAGCATCTTCAGAAGTTCCCACAACTGCCAATGTATCTACTAAAAATAATCACATTCATATCACTGGTGAGTCATTTACCTTTTTTTAAATTTTATGTTTTATTTGCTCTACAAATATTTATTGTATGCCTATCAGTTGTCAGGCACTGTGACAGCTGTTGAGTATTGAAAACACTGCTTCCTGAGGAGTATAATCTATTATAGATGATACACAGTAAATAACTCATTATGCAGTTAAATTTATTTGTGACAAATCCTATGATATAGTGCAAGATGTCGTCAGAGTCTAACAGAAAGATCTGATTGTAATTGGGGAACTAGAAAGGATTCTCTGGGGATACATTTAAACTAAAATCTGGAATGAGTAAGAATTAGCCAGGTGAAAAGTACTGAGAAATATTTCAACTTTATGAAAGTATATTCTGATGGTTGGAACAAAGAGTATTCCTATAATTCAACTAATAAAAGTTTGTCAATGCTAAATATAATCCTTGTTTTTTATCATAAGAGGTCAAGGTTTTCAATAAAGTTAGGACCCTCCCAATGCAGATCTTGATTGTAAATTCAAGGCATAATCAACTCTTTAACTTCGGAAGGTATTCACTTAACTGGTGAACTCTACCTGGGGATTCAGTTTATTCCATACTGAAGCTCATCTAGCCCTCAGTCACTGGTGCGTCATCCATCCCACACGCAACATGGCCATGGAGCTGCAGACTGGCATCCTACCGATGTCTGCAGCCATCGGTGCCTTAAACGACTGCCCGGGACTTCCCTGGTGCCTCAGTGGTAAAGAAGCCACCTGTCTATGCAGGAGGCACAGGTTCCGTTCCTAGTCCAATATCCCACACGCCACAGAGCAGCACGCCCATGAACCACAATTATTTCGGCCTGTGCTCTAGAGCTGCGGACTCGCAGCTACTGATTCCCCGTGGTGGAATCCCCCACGGGCTGCAGCTGCTGCAGCCTGCAGGCCCTAGAATCTGCGCTCTGCAACAAGAGAAGCACCGCAGCGAGCAGCCTGCCCACCGCAGCGAGCAGCCTGCCCACCGCAGCGAAGAGGAGCCCGTGCCCCTGGCGACTAGAGAAAAAGCCGTGCAACAGCAAAGACCCGGCGCAGCCAAAGTGAAGAAATAAGATTGTTTAAAAAGGAAAAGAACTACATACTTGAGGAATTTGGGGAAATTGGAGCTTTACTTTTCCACCAGGACATTGCTGAAGCCAATGGCCTCATTTTCTATATTTGGTTGGGATAAAATTAGTAAGCATTGATAGAAGATCTATCTAAAACCTGTTGTTCTTTCATTTCTCAAAAACTTTGGAGGTAAAATGTTATAGTCCACCACATTGCCAGTGTAGAGTAAGTCTTGACTTCACTGAGACAGAACTGTGTGTAGTCCTAAATTGGTTTCCTGGGTAATTGTTTCTATTGTGGTCATGATGCTCTAGTACTTTGAACTACTGTGAACTCTGGCCACCGTGCATCAGTGAGCCACAGGGTTGCTCAGTGTTGGACTGTGTGAGCTTCTGGGGTACCGTCAGCATCTGCCTGACAAAACTGAAGTAACCCGAGCACCAGGAAGACCTCCGATCCCTGGGTATGTGTTGTGAGAGGAAACATCTTCAGCACTGATGATCAGTGTGACGACAGAATCACATGGCTGCCGTCCAAACTATGTAAAATATAAAAAAGATTTGGTAACACATATTTTAAATCTAGATTTTTTGGCTTGTGTGTGTTTTATTTTTTTGTAGACTTCACTTAATGAAAAGCACTGTAATAAACCTGAAGCAATCAAATAAATTAAAAAAGTCTACACACGGTTTATAATCTAGTTAAAATAATGAAAATACTCTTTTATTAATAATAAGAAAGAAAAATGCACTTTTGCCCAAATGATTTCTGTAATCTGAAGAGGTAAAGATCTATCTATAATGTATAAGGAATTTCACTGTAGTGCTATTAGAAATAAGAAAAGCCTGGAAGCAATTTAACCATCCAACATTCAGTTCAGTTCAGTCACTCAGTTGTGTCCGACTCTTTGCGACCCCATGAACCACAGCACACCAGGCCTCCCTGTCCATCACCAACTCCCAGAGTTTACTCAAACTCATGTCCATTGAGTCAGTGATGCCATCTAACCATCTCATCCTCTGTCGTCCCCTTCTCCTCCTACCCCTAATCCCTCCCAGCGTATATTGCACTCATCTCACATGCTAGTAAAGTAATGCTCAAAATTCTCCAAGCCAGGCTTCAGCAATATGTGAACCGTGAATTCCAGATGTTCAAGGTGGTTTTAGAGAAGGCAGAGGAACCAGAGATCAAATTGCCAACATCCGCTGGATCATCGAAAAAGCAAGAGAGTTCCAGAAAAACATCCAACATTAAGGCCAATTAAATAAACTACAGTAGATCCATATATTGGGGAACCATCCAGTCATTTAATCAAATAAGGTAAACTTCTAGGCACTTCTGTGAAAAATATTCCAAGAATTTTTTTAAGAGAAAGAAGCCAAGAACAGAACAGTATGTGCAGCATGCCCCCATTTGTAATATGAAGGGATATATATTCATGGTACCTATATTTGCTTATATTTGCATTAAAAATTTCTGATAGGAATTAACTATTAAATAGTTAATGTAATTGACTATTAAAAGTTATAACCTCTAGTGTGGGTAGCTGGCATCTGAAGAAGTAAGGATATTTCCCTTTTATTGTAGTTTATATTTCTGTGTTGTTTGAATTTTTAACATGAGCGTAAAACACTTTTTAAAATGAAAAAATTAAGTAACTATACAATTATAAACATTCCCTTTTATTCTCTGCCAGGCAGAACCAGACAATATGATTTCCTAAGAGAGTTCGTTTACTTAATTTTTCCTTCATGTTACAGGAAAAGTAAAACAATCCAGAAAATTGTATTTATATTGCCTCTGGCCTTCTCAGCTTTGTACTTTCAGACCTTTAGAATGTTATAATGCCTTTTACTTTTTCTTCCTCCTCCTAACATGCTAATATTTCACAAAGCATTTTAATGACTCCTTAAAGAATAAGAATTTAAAGATAGACCAGTATTTCACACATAAAACTTTTACCTTACTGGAGTGAATTTGGAAAACAAATTTATAGATTATCAGTTTTATGTGTTCATTCTTTTTTAAATTTTTTATTTTATATCAGAGTATAGCCAATTAACAATGTGATAGTTTCAGGTGGACTGCAAAGGAATTCAGCCATACATACACAGGTGTCCACACTCCCCCAAACTCCTCTCTCTTATAAATCACATTTCATTGGCCACCCTGTGCCAGGAATTGTCCAGGGCCTTGAGAAAGTGAAAGAAAAGAAAAGATTAGGTCTGGAGCTTTGTAACATGAAAGGCATTCATGTGAAAAAGAAATGCAATTGTATAAATGCAAAAACGATATGAGAATAAGTCATAGAAATGATCCGAGCATGATTGTGATCAATGAACACCCCATGGTTCTTGGAAATGCATGTTGCAGGTAAGCAAACTAATTCAATTCATCCTGCTTCCCAGTTGCCAAACTTTGGTGTTAAAGTTCATCTGTCATTATGCCCTTTTCAGGTACTGTGATCAGTAAGCCCAAAGATGGAATGTCCTGGCCGGTGATTGTGGCAGCTTTGCTATCCTCCTGTCTCGTATTGTTTGGTCTTGGAGTGAGAAAGTGGTGTCAGTACCAAAAAGAAATGTGAGTACAGTCCTGAGACATGCAGGAGCAGTTACTTTTTCCAGCAGAAAATATTCACTCAACACTTTGAATATCATTCCTAGATAGCAGTGTTTCTCTCCTATGTAACTGAGGAAATAAGGCTTGAAGAAGCTCAGAGAGGCTGCCCAGCTTCCCCAGTACCACACAGTTGGAATGAGATGCACAACTTCTGACTCGATGCCCTTCTACCTGTTCAGGCTAGAGTACTCACTCAATGGAACAAGTCAGCAGGCGTGAAATGAGAATGGGGGCTCACATCACCTCAAAACCGAAACTGATCTTTCTTTTTAATCTTCATTATTCTTTTCATTTTCATGCATCTCTGAACTGCCTGGGCCCAGGTGGGCCTAGATACTGAAGTGTGAAATTGAGTAAGAAAGGTAATTTTAAGAAATTTCCAGCTGCTTTTCAGCAAAATGGGCTTTTACTGCCCTTATCCTTTCTCCCCAAGGGGAAAAGAGAGCAGTGGGTTACCTCCTTTTTGTCTTATTGAAATAGTTTCCAGAACTCTCCCCCCTCCACTGAGAAGTCTGAAAGGCATGGAAGGTTAAACCTCACTTTTCTGACTTGGCTGTTTTGGATCGGTCTGGTTCAGGCCATGCTTAGAGAAGATATTCAGAATACACAGAGCTGATCCTCCACATATCTTACTACTGCTGTCTCAGATAATATTGACTGTGTGGCCTGCCTTCTACTTACTGTATCCTTGAAGACTCTATAGCCACATGCAGGGGATGTTTCATGGTGAATACAACACCAAACCATGAGTCAGAAACTCTGGACTTTTGTTCAAGTACTATACTTTGGCCACCATGTGACCTTAAGAAATTCCTAATTCCCTAGAAAAAACAGAATTGCAAACTTCTTAGAATGCTATCCACCTTTTGATATACATTGTCACCACTAAAGCACCAGAAAACCAGGTAATAGGTGTTAGGGATTTTTATATCAAAATGAGAAAACGGGAATCTGAAAATCTGAATTGATATTTTTTTGTTCTATATTCAAATGTCTGTGTTATATAGAGATGGAAGACAATCCCCCTCCGTTTTTCTCAGTGTCTCTCCTTCTCTCCCCTTCTAAGGAGAAATTAAGATACTGTGGATTGATAGACAAGGGGTAGAGGTTTTTGAGTCTGCCCACAGACATGCCTCTATTTCCTGATAACGAGGGCTGGAGCGTTTATACAGCTAAATCCCACACTCACCTTACGCTTATGCACTTCAGACAAAGAGATCAGTTGTGCAAACACAGACCAGTACTTTCTTTACACAGAGATGACTCTAAGAGTGCTCACTGACACAAACAGAAAGGATGCGGGCGCCATCCATCAACTCAGGGGACTCAGGCGAGTTCACCTCCCACCCCCGACCTCCCCCGGTTCACGCACAATGAGTGTGTGGTGAGGCCTGGGGGTCAGGGTGGCAAAGGGACTCAGAAAACCGCCATCTTCGGTCCCAGAACTTGACATTTTCTTCTCTGGAGGAACGCATTAACCCACATGAGAGAAACACGTCCCCGTTAGGAGGCAGTTGCCATGGGGAGGGCAAGTTCTGTTCAGCGGCCTTGACTTGCTGGCCTGCTCCTCTTCAACAAGCTGCTTAAAACCTCTAAGCCTCAGTTTTATCTGTGGGATGGTGGCAATAATAGTCAATTCCTAAATGCAGATTATATAACTCTATGATAAAAATGGCTTACAAATTATAAAATATCACAAAAATATTCATTAATGATACTAACAGGACTAGCAAGCAGGTTATGCCAGGAAAAAAAACAGAGAGCCAGAGAAGCATGCCTCTTTCACGTTCTCTGTTTGCTTCTAAAAATATATCATGCATACATGCATCACCCCTGACATTCTCAGCCTTGAATGAGCAATGTTTTGTCCCTAGCATGGAAAGACCTCCGCCTTTCAAGCCGCCTCCACCGCCCATCAAGTACACTTGCATTCAAGAGTCCATTGGAAGTGATGTGCCTTGTCATGAGCTGGAGACACTCTAGTCCTCTGAGGCTTTGACGCACAACAAAATTCTGCTAGAATCCTGTCGAAAAAGTAGATGTCGTGCTTTATTAATACAATAGCCCTCTAGCCAAGCCTCTTCTGCAGCTGAAATGGATATCAGAAGTATATGACCTGTTTTCCCCAAAGCTCACCCTCTTTCATCTGCATATGCTGGAAATTTAAACAAGACTGACAGGCGATATGAAGTGTTCACCCAGTGCAGTCTACAAGGATTTTCTTGCCTGTGTAAGAAGTGCAAAGTAGGCTGCTGCATTAAAAAAAAAAAAAAAAAAAAAAAAAGCTTGCAGTGTTTTATTTTTCACTTTTAATTCCCTGAGGTGATGACAAGGGTTTTAAACTTATGTCCATACCAGATCTGCTCTTTGGGGCATCTGCCAACATTCTAAACTATTAGCCAAAATTATGTTCATCTCTGAGGGAGGGCTTCCCACGTGACTCAGAGATAAAGAATCCGCCTGCCAATGCAGGATACACAGTTTCAATCTCTAGGTTGGGAAGATCCCCTGGAGGAGAAAATGGCAACTCACTCCAGTATTCTTGCCTGGGAAATCCCATGGACAGAATAGCCTAGGGGGCTACAGTCTATGGGGTTGCAGAAGAGTCAGATACATCTTGTCAACTAAACAACAACATAATGTATCACAGAATAATAGATAACTAATACAGTCCAGTAAATGGAGAAATAAACTAATGTTTGCCTGCCTTAATTACCCTTAATTTCTCATTAGGTCTCAAGAAAGAAGACTAACTTCATACATACATATGTGACTATTGCTTCATGAGCAGTTATTTTTAATACAACTTAATCACCGGTGATTTGAGTAAAGGTCACTATGGTTTTATTTTTACTGTTAAATCAGGAGACATGAATACAAGCAGGAGCAGTGTTGGGGTGAAAAGTGGCAGAGTTGGAGGGTGTTTAGATCATTTTGGAAAAGGGATAGACAGTTGTACAGTACAACATAAGTCACGCGGTTTTCAGTCTATCATATAACAAGTGTCTTATGCTGTTTCTGTCTTAGCCACCTCTTTGAAATATTCTCTTCTGGTTTTATTATAAATAAGTTCTAGTCAACATTTGTAAATTCATCTCCAACTTGAATAGAGTGAACAGTTGCTTATTCATGGAGGGATACTCATTCTGTGATTTAGAGAAATTTTTCTGCAAAATAGAAGGACTCTCGATGTTTTTCAGGCAGTGTTACGATCTTGACCTCCCTCACTTGACTAAAAGGACACTTTCACCTGCACCTTAAAGTTTTAAGTTCAGAGAGCCTGTCTCAAACCAGCAACTCCTCTCTCTACAAATGGGTTTAGTTCTGTCTCACTGGACAAGTAGCAACTTTGCACCCTAATCCCTAAGATTTCTGAATGCCTTCATTATTACTTAATTTTCACTAAGAAGAAGCCATACATAAGCCTTTTAATCACTCATTTCCAAAGCATGGTGTGTTAGATAATGTTGTTCAGAAATATTCATTTCTTTACTCACCTGCATCATGAGCACATCTTGACCTTGGGCTTGGCCATGCGACTTGCTTTGGACAATGTAATATCACGGACCTGACTAACCCAAGACTTGAAAGGTGCTTGTGCGGTTGGACTCACTCTCTTGTTCTCTGCCATAATCATAAAAAGAAGATTTTCAGGGTAGACTGTGAGCTCCAAGAAGATAAGAGATTCACAGGTTAGAGCAGAAACACTCAAACCAGGCCCAGTTGAGATCAACCAATCTCCAACCCAACTCAAATGTGCATTATTAAAGAGTGTGATGGTTACACATCATTATTATAGCAAAAGTTAATCTATACACATAAGTCCAGAATGCTGGAAAGGATCAGCGGCAGGAGGAGAAGGGGACAACAGAGGATGAGATGGCTGGATGGCATCACCGACTCGATGGACATGGGTTTGGGTAGACTCTGGGAGTTGGTGATGGACAGGGAGGCCTGGCGTGCTGCGATTCATGGGGTCGCAAAGAGCCGGACATGACTGAGCGACTGAACTGAACTGAGGCAAATTTTAGGTCTTACTCAAGTACTGGAGTGAGAGATAAAGTCAAACTTAATTCAATCAAAGTAATCGTTTTCCTTGATTCAGCATAAGCTTTGTTTTAGCTAATGAACATATGGTTGGCTTGACCAAGTTAACTTTGCAGTATAGATTTTTAAAATCATAAAATATATGATCATGTTGGGCATTAGAGGTTACTATAAAGAGTTATGGAATATGTGAAATCGACTTCCCAAGGTCACATAATTAAAAGTGATAAAGCCAAAATGATGAGCCAGCTCTCTGAATTCCAGTCCAGAATGTGATCAGTCTCCATTATATCATGATATTTTAATTTCTTTGGTATCTCCTTTTACTATAGACAAGAACTATTTTCCATGCACTTAAGTAAATATTGATTTTTTTTTTCTAATGCCCAGGTAGTATATTCTGAACATTGTTGACAGAAAAAAAAGAAAGTAGAAATAATTGGCCCCTGGGGTAAGATGGCCAGGAAAGTGTGCAAAAAAAAAAAAGAAAAAGAAATGAGTAGGAAATGAAAAGAGGTCTACAGCCATACCACCCTGAACACGCCCGATCTCATCTGATCTCGGAAGCTAAGCAGGGTCGGGCCTGGTTGGTACTTAGATGGGAAATGAAAAGAGGAAAGAAAGTAATGAAGATCAGAAGCTGGAAAGACGTTTAAAGAAACTAACCAAGGCTGGAGATCACGGAAAAGACCTTGTTTCAGAGGCTCTGAGCAGGGAGAGAGGTTCTTGAAGGCAGCCTTCTCGGCACTCTGATTTAGAATGATTTGGGCTTGAATTTGAAACTTGAATCTGCAGAAACACAGAAACTTGGTCCTTTGAGAGTCGACAGACAAAGCCTGAGTTTTTGGTGACAGCAACCATGGCTGTGTCCACCAGCTGAAGCTTGGGTGTCCGGCAGAGACATCTGAAATGGTGCGTAGAAGTTACCACGATGGGAGGAAACGACATTAACTGGCAGGAATGAGCTGAGGGTCCAGCCAAAACCACATGGTAGAATGATGGGAACAGAACACTTTGTTTCTCAGCGTTTTTTCTGGACTCTCTGGTGCTAAGAAGGCTGAACGCCACAGCCAGGGAGATGCAACTGCAGAGCAACAGGGCGCGACTTTAGGTCAGGACGGGGGCACTTTCGAAAGTGCCCTTAAACACTGCCCCGTGCTTCTCCGATGGGTTAGGCATCGGCCGGGCGCAAATTAGCAGAGGAATGAGAACAACATAATCTTAAGTGTTTCTCCTCAACCAGCATCTTTATACTCTCCTAGCCTGAATGAGCAGGGAGGCCTGGCGTGCTGCGACTCATGGGGTCGCAAAGAGTTGGATACGACTGAGCGACTGAACTGAACGGAACCTGAATGAGCAAACTGACAGAGAACGTAAGCAAAGTTGCGGCAGCTCCGTCGCTCAGTCGCGTCTGACTCCTGCGACCCCGTGGGAGCCTGGCGTGCTGCAGTCCGTGGGGCCGCAGGGTCAGGCCGAGCGGCTGTGGGTTTGCTCGCTCAGACCCCTCCTGTGGGCTCAGAGGCTCTGTGGGGCTGCGGGAAATAAAGGGGAGCGGTGACAAACCCGAGGTGACCACATGGAGGAGAGAACACAGACCAGGCCTCCTCCAGCTCCTCGGCAAACACCCGGAATGTGTCTGCCCGGAGATCTGTCGGACGACTCCCATCTACCGTCCAGAAAAGTCATGCCACCAAACGGAGCTGAGCGTAGCGTTAAAGCCATTCACCCACCACCAGAAAATGCTCAGAGGCAGAAGGCGGAATGAAGTGGACGAACAACAGTCATATGGGTTGTGAGAGGAAATTTGGTGGTGGACCGTGAACCGTGTAAAGAGTTAACATCTCTTAGGCATGTGCAACTATATGAAACCGTAGCAGTGGATTCTTGTTAAAATACATTGGTCAAAACCCATGGAAGGTACGACATCAAGGGTGAAACTGAACGTAAAGTTTGGACTTAGGGTTATAATTACATGTCTGCATAGGCTCACTGATTGTAACAAATATACCGCTCTGATGGAGGGTGTTGATAAGACGGGAAGGCTCTGAGGGGCAGAGCTAAGATGAGGAGTCTGTATTTTTCACTCAAATTTTGCTGTGAACTGAAAAGTTCTCTAAAAAATAAACTCTATTAATAAAGTTAACTTCTCTGTTCTGTACTTTCTCTCTTGAAGACATAAATATATGAATGGTAAGAGAAATGGGAAGAGAATAAAGACTGAACGGGAAGAGAAATGAGAATTTGAGGGTTTTATCTATGGTAGAACCATTTTTGTACCACTAGTTTGGGATCAGCATAATTCCACTCTTATAAGTCATTGGGTTGAATTGGGTTTTTCTTATACATAAAGCTGTTGTACTGATTCAAAAGGACATACTCTGATGCCTAACCGATCTGAATGTCACTTAACTATAAACAGGACACTATTTCTGTGGCCACTTAATGGAAAAGTGTGGCCAGCACCACGCCTGGGTAACTCCGGTGGGTGGCCAGATTAGGGTCTGGAGATTTCACACTCGAGTAAGTGACCTAAAAACTCCCTCGGGACCACTCCAGGGTTTCAGTGAGTGCAGAGCTTAGTGGGAGAAACAGATTCTAAAGAAAGAAATACAGTAGAGGCTGATGCATCTGAAAATAAAAGCATATACAAAGAAGAGAAAAGAATAAAGAAGAGGGTATTATTTCAGGGACAGAGTGTGAAAAGTATTTTTTAGAGGCTTCAGAGAGGAGAGTGTTGACAGAGCCAAGGCACTTCAGTAGACACCTTGACATCTGAGACGTAGTGATGGGGCTTGAAACCGCACCCAAGGATTATACCAGGAGTGCAAGGAGGGCTCACTGATAGAAAAGCTCCTAACTTACCATGGAAAGAAGGCTTAGGAGGAGGAAAGATGTAGGATTAACTTCCACAGGTACTTTAAAAGTCTTTGGCAAAA